AGTCAGCGAGGTGTTTTTCTGTATAAGTGAGGAACTGGTGTCTGAGAAGAAGGTATTCAACTCATACTTAATTTTTAATTTAGTGAGTTTTTAGCTGTGAAAGATTATTATGATGCTCTTGAATAATTATGAGATTATGTTGAGCTGGGGTAGCATTTAGTTGTCACGCAGTCTGGCCTTGCACAGTGCGTCTCATTACACTGGAATGTTGGATAAAATAATGAAAGGCTAGAAGGCCCTGAAAACTATAACAGTAGAAGGATGATAAGCTAACATTACTATTGATGTAATTCACAAAATAATTTTTTGGTTATTAATTTGGTATGTTGGGCATGTGTATAAGTTTTTCTATTAAAATAGTAAATATCTTCTGGTTTTGTGTTACCTTCCACAGATTATGTACTTCATCCTTTTGTTGTAGGACTTTATTCACTTAAAGGAGAAACTAAAGGTATAAAAAACTTTTTCTGGTTATCTTTCCCTTCGTCCTTACCCTGCCCCATTCTTTCTTCTGAGGTCCCTGGGTCTTTCCTGGAGGAAGGGAAACTTATCACAGCTGAGCTCAGTGCTTGTATTGCTTCACTGCTACTAGAATTTGCTTTTTGTTTTTTTGAAAAAATCCATGAAATTGATATGATACCTACAGTTGTTTCAGTGTTTGCTTTATCAGAAGTGTATGTTTACCTTAAGCTCTTACTTTAGTCAGTCTCCATGGATATTTACTTTGCAGGGGGAAAGCCCTTTCCTCAGTTTAGAACTTTAGATCTTGATATTTGCCTCTCTTCAAATAGCATTTGCCTTTCCACACAACTACAGATCTGTTGTGAATAACCCAGACCTAATGTAAATCAAGTCTGTGATGTTATCTTGCAACTGGTGGTCGTTTTTGTTTTTTTTCTTTTCTGAGGTTGTACCTCTGAAACAAAAAATCTGTTATGGTACTTTGTTAAATAAAACCCCACCCAACCCCCTGTAATTTCATAGATGTATTTAGTAAGATAATGTAAGATAGAGTTAAAATGGAGCATAATTTCTCTTTGGAGGCAATCAGGATAGTAAATTTTTGACATAGTCTAAATAATTTAGCTTGTATACAATCTGTAATTTCTAATTACATTCAGTTTTTATTTGCCTTTTTATGCAGGCTTTTTTTGCAAATACTGGTGCATATGAAATTAGTAGAGCTGTCCAGGCAATTTGTAACTAAAAGACTTGGTTCATATTGCAGAAATGTATGTTCAACTATTCCCAGGTGTACTTTATTTTAAAATATAAGGGAGAACCATTTGTTCTATCTTCTTACAGAAAAATATCTCGAGGCCCTTTCCAAACCTTCCTTAGTGCTATTGCCCCTCTTCCCTGCCGCCCACCCCCTCTCCAATCTGTACATTATTTCCATGCCCAGGCTTTTAGAATTGCAGTATTGACTTCCCGGTGGCATTGCTGGTTGTGGCACAGAGCCCACATTTAATCAACTACATTTATTAGTTTAAAGCTGCCCTGAGTGAATGAAGAGAATACCTAACTCTTGAATTAGCTGGATCACTGCATGCTATTCTGTCTAACTGTACAGATAATCTAGCTGGTATTTTGCAACAGTATTTTAACAGTAACTGTGGTATGTCTGAACTGTACAGTTAGCCTGCGTAACTAGTGGCTCCCGTCAGTTACTTGAATAACCTAATCTCAGTCAGTGGTCCTTTTCAGCAAAACTGAGGTTGGTTTAAAGACTGGTATGTTCTCAGTGGTGGTGTCCTCAGTGTTGCTTCACTTACTACATGCAACTGAGGTAGGACAGAGCCAGTAATTCTTTGTGCTGAGATTCCCAGTCACTTTTGTTTAATCCTTGAGAACTTGTGTGGGAAGGGCATTTGGTAGATTGCTGACATTTGAGTAACTTTTTCATCCTTGCTGTAAAGTGGATGAGTTCCAGGCAACTGTAAACACAGTTTGGGGCTTTCAGCCGTACTTGAAACAATTCAAGCATGAGCAAGTTCAGAATGCAAATAGGCACGTGTCTGAGAATGTATGTACAGTTGATTGAAAGGCTTGGGGAAAAAAAAAATGCTTGTCCAAAGTGTCTTGTCTGTGTAATGTCAATACACATGTAAACTCATAGCCCCACTTCTGCAATCCAAGGTCTGTTTTAAAGATCTATTTTTCTTAATCTTTCTGTGGAGGATTCTGCTGTAAAGAATTTAACATTATGGTGAAGAAACAAGAAGTCTAAGCGTGACAAGAGTGTCATATAATGTGATTCTGATATAATCAGATATAAGAAAGCAGTGTTCAGTATGCTTTTTATTTCTAGTAATGCATTTGAATTTACCAAATTAAAAAATGAGAACATCTTAAATATCACTTCAGCTTTAATAGTCTTCATAATGTTAAGAGAACACATTTAAAACATTGAGTGACTGCCTCTCAATATTTATCAATTTTGATTATAAGATAAAAATTATAAATTATTATACTAAAAAAAAAGTGGAGCTTTTACTGTATGACATACTTCTGGTGCTTTGTTAGCAAAACTTGTACAAAATGTACATGCAAAATTTGTGTACTTTCCTTGCTTGCCTTTTCCTTTCATAGCTGTTTTTGCAGTTTTATAAACTATTTTGTGAATCTGTATAAACTTAGCAGCAGAACTTAACTAAAATTTTAAAAAATTCTTATTGAGTGCTTGGAAACACCTGCTGCATTTTTCTTTTTAGCTGAGATTGCTTTATTTGCTTTAGGAAAGGGAAGGATTTGGATTCTATATCCCTTTGTGCTCTTTTAGATACAAGCAGAGTATTCAGTGCTCCTTTTTTTTCTAATGAAGGAATTCAGGTTTTGTAGGGAAACTTACAGAGCTCTGCATTTGAACTTGATAGAAATTTCATGTGGGAAGAAATGGGTGACTGACACGGGAATGATCTGTGTGGAGGACAAACCAAAGTGATCTTCCAAAAAATTGGTTAGGAAAAGTAGCCTGGAGGTGTTCTAATCAACAGGGAAGAGCAGGCACAGAGCAGCCAAAGATGCAGGTAGTTTCGGTCACAAATACCTACTAACCGAAGCCCAAAGTACAGCCTACTACAGCCAAGTAGTATATAAACCAAGACTTGGTTTATGCTTACAAACCAAAGTTTTACTCTGAAAGTTAAATACAAAGACATGTTAATCTTGCAAAGGATTAATCAATCTGAAAGCATGTCAGACTGAGAGTTGTATTGCTTGTGCCCTCCTTACTGTGAAGCCCCATTGTTGGAAAACCAATGTTATTTTTTTCCTTAAATACTTCTAAGTTACGTTAGCAGCATAATGGCTGAAGTAATGACTAAGAAATTAATGGTTCAGAGCAATAGAGAAAAAGATGAGAAAAGATACTTCCAAGATCAGAACACCTGAGGCAGAAATTATGTGTGTAATCTTTAAGTATTGGTTGTTTTTTTGTATGTTGGGGTTTGTTTTTTTTTCCCCCCTGAACAATAACATTTCCTCCTGTTAATTTTTAATTTTTTTTTTGTCAGTTCTATTAGGGGGGAGCTTGCTTTTTGGCGTTGATCTCTTAAAATGAAGGACATTCAGAGGAAAAACGCCAACCTTGCAGATGTATGAGAGATCTGCCTGGGTTATTAGACTGATCCTAATTCATGCCCTGCATTTATGTTTACATGGATCACAGCTTTATTTATTAATATAGGAATGGGTCCATATTTATTTTCTACTGCTATGAAAAGCTACTTTTAAAAAATACTGCTATATATCACAATAGATATTTGTTTGGTGTGGGTTTCTTTTTTTCCCCAGACAACTGGTCACCCATGCAATATTAAATCAATTGAGAATTACTGTATGGGAGGGAAGCTGAGAAAAGGCGAGTTAAATGTATCATTGATCTTTTTGTGTCAAGGATGAAAACTTTTCTTATAAGCAACTTTTAAAGCTTATATTTTCTAACAAAAGTGTTCACTTTGAAATGGATTCTGGGTTTTGTTCTGTGGTGTTTTGCCTTTGTATATATATCTCATTAAACATGAGTGTGGCTTTTAATTGTTCATGTGGATAAAAATGGCACCGTGTGTGTGTTGGGAGGGGGAACTGTATTTACATTTTCTTTAAAAGCTTCTGGTGTTTGTTTCAGAAATAAAGGAAAGGGCAAGGCACCTAAACTCTATACTGAGAGGAGTTTAGCTTTGTATCCTGTGAACGTTAAGGCTTCTTCATTACCAGTTTCAGCATTCCTTAGGGAGACCAACTAAAATTTTTAGCAGTTTGGACTAAACACTTTTTGCTAGTCATGGAAAAAGCTAAAGTAACTTAAAGTATCTTTCAGATATGAATGAATGATATGAGTGTATGATCTGAGTGGATATGAGTGAATGATCACTAGGAATTTGTTACTGTCAGATGCGCACATTGCATAGCTGTTTTGTGCATTTGGTTTTAATGCTTGTTCAAATGACTAATTATCAAAACCTGTAATCTATGCAAAAAGTACTAATGAAAAGTGCAGTCTTGGTCACAATGTGCAGTATATCTGTGGGAGGTGGAGGAATAGTATGAGTGTTTTTTGGGTTTTGTTTTTTTTTTTCCTCAGATTGAATTTTAATATGAAACGAATCAGTACCAGTTTCCTAGTAGTACTGGATCTACAAGGGCACTGATATACTTTAACATCTTAAAATATTCTTTGAATGCTGCTGTTGCAGTTTTTCAGTTGTAGACAGGCTCTTTGAAGTCATTTTCATGAAAGTGAGGAGTTGCAGGAAGAAAAATTTTAAAGAAAAATTTTAGAAAGATGTATGAAAATATTCAGCTGGCAATGGATTATTGAGCATGGCATAAACATAAATCTAATATCTGGTAATGATTATGTTTCAGAAACATGCTTGTAACTCATTTAAAGGAAGAAAAGCTAGTGTTTCTGGAATAGACAAACTAAGAATTATGTATTTATGAAGGCATCATTGTAAAATCTTCCCTCCTTTATTTTAAATTAAATTTCTTTTTAGAACATATCAGACATCTTTTCACTGGAGTGAATTGGTGGGGATCTTGGGAGAGTTAGAGAAAACGAATTTAGTTTCAGTAAAAATGGCTTTCATCAGATACTGGTTGGAGCAAAAGACCCAAAATGAATGAAAAAATCAATGCTAGGGCACAGGCTACAGGACACTGAAAGGTAAGTATGCTATGCACATGTCTTACCTGTTAAGGTAGCCAGAAGGTGGACACACTAACCTGTGTCCTGTGAAACCGTATGTCTGTTGTCTTCTGTTGTGCTTAGTTCTGTGTTCCATGTACTACCTAGAAATCATGTGTGTAAGTGCAATATTAAGTTGTGTGATTATATATGTATTTGTTTTTGTTTTTTGTCAGTTCAAAGCTGGTCAAGTAGTTGCAATGCTAATTCTCTTGCCTCATATCTATGTATGCAGCGAGCTGTTTGAGTTCAAAGTGGATGTTTTTGTATATATTCATATAATTTTTTAAGATAGCTTTCTTTACATTAGAGGGCAGGGGTAAGTGTAATTCCTTTGTAAATTACTTCTTAAGAAGCAGCTTTTATGACTGTCTGTATTCTTCCATGATAATAATTTGGAAAAGGAACAGTGACTAGATTTGAGAAGTGAACATGTCCAGTGGCTGCCCATGCCGTATCAGAATTGAAGTGATCTTGACTAGACTCTTCTTGGTCTGATCGAAGAGGTATTTCTGAGGACCTGGAGCCTCCTGTCATCCCACATGAGGGTTGTCTCTGAATAGTTGCAAAAGTCAGAAGCAGGACAATTGATTACTGCTGTTTCTTCAACAAGCTCCACTGTACCACCTGCATGCCCTTATACCATCGACGCCAAGAGCAGGTTTAGCAACTTCTCATCACGGATTTCCTGTCTCTCCCCAGGAAACTGCAAATATCTTTCAAACTTCCCTTTCTTCTCCGTTAGCCTTCCACGCCTAGGCCACTCGCAGGTTTTTGTCCGCTCCAGGCCAGATTGGAGCTAAGTTCTCATCTTCTCCCTTCAGTGGTAACTCCTTCTTGAAGTGTGTGAGTAGAACCCATAGCCTTCAGTTTAAGCAGGAAGGAGAGCCAAGGATGGCATGGTTTAAATTTGCCTGCTGAGATGAGGAGGTACTTTCATTTTCTAGAAAAAGAGCTCTCAACATCTGTGAGCAAACCCAAGCTGCCAGGGTCACAGTCATCATCAGCTGCAGCCAAAAAGATGGCAAAAATGCACTGATGAAGCATGGTGGCAAGAGAGAGCAGGGCATTGCTGGAAGAGAGGATTACACGAAACATACACAGTCCTCAGAATATCCAGCATTTATTGAGGCAAAGATCCTAGGAAAGAAAAGGATGGAAATGCATAGTCAAAGATATAACTGACATTTGTATTGTACAGAAGGCCGATGGGAGTTGCTGTCTTTCTGTTTTTCTGACTGTGTGTACAACAACCTCAAAATGTGTTTGTGATCTTCTCTAGTAGGCTGTTCTACAGTATACAGTAGGCCTTCCATATTCAGATGAGAGAACACTGTTAGGTGAGGGAAGTACCTTTTTTGGTATGAAACTTAGCTTTTGTCAAGGTGCAAGTTTGAATTTTTTGTCATTTCCTGTGTTCTCTTGAATTTTTCAAGAAATGTTGGCTGCTTGTCAAAATACTAAATGTAAAGGCTGTAATGTTAATGGTGTTGTCAACTTATGTCCGCAGTGGCAACGAGGAGGTTTTGGTGGTTGCCCCTGTCTTCCTTCTCTCAGCTTAGTAGAGAAATCCAGTTGAGCTCCTCTTCTTGTTTTGTCTCATGTATTACGTAGAAGAGTGAAATAAAGTAGGGTTCCTTAGTGGGTAAGTTAAGAGGAGGAAAGAGAACAAGCTGTCTGAGTTTCATCTTACCCCTCTTATCTAACAGTTTATCTCCACTCTGTTTTTACTGTTACTAACTAGTTACTTTTTTGGCTGTCCATATGCATAATACGGTTGTTGCAACTGTATGTAACTTTTTTCACCTTTCTGCTTCCTGTCAGTAGGGCAATGCATATGAATTGTGAGATTGTTGTGCTTGTAGTTGCTTGTGCATGATGAACTTGGTTGTATTCCTAAATTTTAACTCCCCTCTTCCCTCCTTTTTTCAGAATGTCTCTGTGTCTTCCCATTCCTTGTTCCCTTTTTACATTAAATGTAAGATTGTTGTAATTTATGTGCCATAGATTAAAAAAAAAAAAAAAAATTCCAAGTATCTAAATCCTATTAGATTTCGATTGGGTATTGAGTTTTAAATCTTACTGACATTTAAATATTTTGAACCTTTGAACAACTGGACCTGCACAACTGATGGCACTGATGCAGGAATGACGATGATTGGCAGGAGGGAAGGAGAGGATATGTATATTGTCATTGTATATGTTGTCAGTGAAAGAAATGTTCATGAACTGACCGAAAGATCCCTTTATAGCAGAGAGTGTAAGAGGCCTAGAGTTCTTTTGCTGCAGTTCGCATATAAACCAAACCTTTAAGTTTTGTTTTTATGTTTCCTTTCTAGCTTCTAGTCAGATCTGGGTTTAGGTCTGTAGCAATGTTAAGTACTTCTAAATTTAGCTAAGGCTTTCTGGAGTTGTGCTGTGAGTGAAAACACTCTGAAATTCAAAGTTTATCCTTCTGGGCATCCCAAAATGGACACTTAACACTAGTGTAGATCTTTTTTTTCCACAAATTCCAGTACTTTAGCTCTTCAACTGTAACAAATACCATTTCCTTTTTCTCTGACATAAGCATGTGAATGTTTGGTATAAATGGGGTCTTTTTTTTTTTTTTTTTTTTTTTTGTTTGGGCGCTACACAAAAGGGCATAAGGAAATGAATTGGAGGGTTCAAATAATTTGCAACACAGGAGGTACAGGACCACACATGAAATGAGACTTTAGTAGATACTGATAGGTGTTCAGTGAAGGAGCGTTTGGTATTATGCACTGAATTAAGTTAGTGATTTCAGTGGAACAAAGTAGGTCTTTCAGTGTAAGTCTTTCCTGTACCATAAGGGGACGGAATTAGGATTGCTAGGAAGACCTTTATTTTGGCATTTCCTGACTGATTTTGCTTTTTGACTTTGCAGCTTTAGTATGACTTTTTTTACCTTTCTTAGAGGTGATCAGGAATATAGGTGGTGTGCACAACCACTGAAGATTAATTTGGAAACAGTCTACTAACATGGCAAAAGATGTGCACTTGCACTGTGCAGTTCTGAACATCAGTTTCTCAGATATTTGTAGAATGATGCAGGTTTATGGAGGAAATAAACTACTGTGCTTATTTTCAATGATTTTTTTTTTTCTTTTTGAAAGCTTGGTAATGAACCTGGCTACTTGGAAATTTAGCAAGGAGTACATCTCGCTTTTCAAAACTGTTTTAGACTTTGTTTTTGCTTAGTTTTGAACAAGATGCATTTGGAATATAATTCGGAGTTCAAGCTGCATTGAAGTTGTGATAGCTGGGGAAAAGAAAAATACACTGATACCTTTTTCTTTGTCCATGAGTGTGCAAAAGTAGTACTGTGTGCTGATTTGGAAGTATGCCGGGGGTTGTTCTTGTCCCTGCAGTGGGAGAGGTTTATGCTGCAATGTAACTAAGCATAGTGTGTGTGTGGGTTTAAAAGTCTTTTTGCTGTTTCATACTGTGTAAATTGTGATGCCATTAAAATGTTATGTATTTTGTTGTATTCTAACAGTATTAAACTTGCTCCCCTTTAAAAAAAACCCCAAACAAACCAACAACCAAACCGAAGCCCCCAAATCACTGATAAAAATGGAATTTCTTCAATGAATGCTTTGTATTATAATTCGTGATGGGCCTCTTTTTCATAACAGTACAGTCTGCTAATGTTTGCATGCTGTATCTGGCTTACAGGACTATTCTTTTGGCCTGCAGCTAGCATCTAGCCACCTTTCTGAAGGCACGTCAGGCACTGATTATCTAAATTAACATGATGGTAAACTGCTCCTGTGACACCAGAGATGCAGTAAGAGGAATTATGCTTATATTACTGATGATCTGTTTATGTGCAGAAAGTCAAATGCTTTCAAGACTCAGGCTAATTTTGCAGATGTGGGTGAACTGTACCATGTATGTGTAGGTTGATCATGTCACAAGGGAGAAGGCAATGCAGTTTTCAGATGCTTTCAATAGAGGCTGTGAGGTCTGTTGTCTCAGGAAGACAGCATACCACTTTATGGTGAAGGATGTTGTGATTTTCCCTGACTCTCTCAATTTTTGTTTCTTAGACCGCATCAATGGAGCACATTCAGGGAGCTTGGAAGACTATCAGTAATGGTTTTGGACTCAAGGATTCTGTCTTTGATGGCCCAAACTGTATTTCACCTACTATCGTTCAGCAGTTTGGTTATCAACGCCGAGCATCTGATGATGGCAAAATATCAGATACTTCCAAAACTAGTAATACTATTCGTGTTTTCTTGCCCAACAAGCAGCGCACGGTGGTAAGTCTATATTACCTTAATGAAAGAAAGGTCATACTGTTGCCATTGCTAACACTATGACTGTATCTGGTAAGAGAAATGCCAAGCTTCACAAAAGGTCTTACTGTGATTAAGTGTGTTGTTATCAGTTTGTTAATGCTAGAGGACATACTTTGAAAGCAATGTATCTGTATTTTCAGAAACTGTATTTCTCTACCTCAGTGCTGTATTTTTCCAATATACATGAGCAAGATACTTTGCTTACATATTAAACATTAAAAGACAGTAGGTGGCTGACCTAAACAATGATGCCTGTATGAAGTACTTGAAACATGAATTAAAACACGAAGTAAAACATGTAGTCATTTCTGTCACCATTTTCTTCTTCACTTGGATGCCCACAGTGAAGTACGGTAGTTAAAGCCGAAGTGAAACTTCTTGAGAGGATGCTTCTACTAGATTTCTTGGAGCTGAGTGTACTAATAATAGTCTTATGCAAAGTTCCCTGGAATCTAAATTAAGCCTTTTTCTATACTTAAGGTACCTCCATTTGCCTGCATTTCTATTACTTTTACAGTCTGTCTACTTGTATGAGTGCTGTATAAAATCCTGTTTCCTAGAAACTTAGTAATTGTAAGAAATTGAAAAGTTTATAAAATGGCTTCAAAACTTTCTTTGCATACGTACACTATAGTTATTTATATGGCAGAAAATGTACCTGCCTCTGATAGGTTGGCTTAACGTGTGGTGAGTTAAATTGGAAGGCACAGCAGTCTGTTGTTATATCATACAAATAATTTTTATTTATCTATGTATTAACTTGAAAAGTGAACAGCTGTGCAGTTTTACTGGAACTTTTAAAGAAAAGGAGAAAAATATGACCACCACTCCTCCCCCCCCCAAAAAAAAAAAAAAACCAAACAAAACAAACCCAACCCAAAAACGTTTAAACAAATTCTGCAATCACTGACTACATTTGTTTTGGTCACAGGTAAATGTGCGAAATGGGATGACCTTACATGACTGTCTTATGAAGGCACTTAAAGTAAGAGGTCTGCAGCCAGAATGCTGTGCAGTTTTTCGACTTCTTGCTGAACCAAAAGGGTAAGAGTCTGGAATGTTATATGTGAAACTTTCAACTAGAGAACGTAAAAATCTTCTTTTTAGAATAGCAGCAATAATAATTTCTTCCTCTCTCTTGCTAGTTTCTTTTAAAAGCACAATTTGGTTGTGAACACTTCCATGTTGCTTTCTTTACCCTCCTCTAGGGCAACTCCTTCAGCTTCCTGGGTATGAAAAAATTTATTTTTGTTTTAAAGCTAAATATTAAAAATGCTTAAAATTGAGGGGTATACTCAACTGCTTGTAGCATCTTACAGAGGCTTTTGTCGTACTCTAGATGAAATGATGTGATATGCCTTCATATTTGAGGTGCATTTCTCCTTTGCATTTGTAGTTGGTAAACTTCAGTGCTGGTGATTCTTAGCCAAATTAAATGAAGATCTCCTCTGTATGCTCAGTTTTAAGGCTCTACATTCCTCTACAACTTTTTAATGTTTGGATTTAAATCTCACTTCAGATATTCCTTATTTTTTGTAGGACCGGGGATGCTGCTATTAAATACCAAATGATTCTTTTACAAGCTGAGGGAGTGAAGGTATCTCATGGAGTTAATACATTTAACTTCACACCTCGTAAGGCTTGGGCTTAATGCTCCTTTAAGCCTCAATCATGAGGCAGTCATTTGTGGGTTTACATCTCTATGTAACTGAGTCCATTCTGGGGTCACCAGTAACTTTAGTGCTGAAGCACGTAATATGGCTTTCATGTCGCTAAGTCTCCCATTCATAATTTCTTATGTTTTGTTTATAAGGGTATTTCTGTGACTCCATTACAGCTTCTAGGTGTCTTATTTCAAATAATCTATATATCTAAATGACTTACACGTTAAAAAATAAACAGAAAAAGAGGTGAATTGCTTTGTTTTCAAAGTTGCTTCTAATTTTTTAAGTGAAAGACACGGCAGTATAGCTCACTAAGAGGCTTTTTTGTATTTGTTTTCAGTTTGCTCAAGAAAACTCACAAAGCATAGATCATTGATTAGGCCAGACTTCTTACCTCCTAATTAATTTTGTTGTCCCCATTTTCTCTTTCTTTCAGAAAAAAAGTGCGTTTGGATTGGAATACAGATGCTGCCTCCTTGATTGGAGAGGAACTGCAAGTGGACTTCCTTGATCATGTTCCACTCACTACACACAATTTTGTAAGCTTTTCCTCTTCTGTATTTTGATGTAAATTGTATCAATTGAACCACATGTTCAGTCAAAGAATGTTTTGGGCATTAGGTACCTTTTGGCTTTCTGAACACAGTGGGGAGGTTTTGAAGTGATTTTTTTATAAATATATATTTCTGTAACTGTCATGTTAAGATATCATGTCTTTAAAGTCCAGAACTGGGAGATAACTTGTATTTTCAGTCTCTGGCTCATCAGCTGGATAAGTTCAGCAGCTTCATTGGACTGTTGGTAACTGTACTGAATGTACAGGGGTGCTGTTAATTCTGCAAGGTCATGACATTTTTTTGTGAACTAATGCTGCCTTGTAATTTGACAGAATGTTTTTTGGGGGGATGAAAGATTTTAGATTTGTAGTTCCTTCTCAAAAATGGATTATTTGCTCAGTATAGAGCAAATAAATAGAGCTTTTTTTTTTTTAAACCAAACTGATAATGCCTAATTCTAACAGTTTCACTGTGCATTATTTTATTCTCCCTGGGAAGGAACTCTATTCCTATATTCTACCCTTCTTGTTGTTTTGTCCCGGAAATATATTGCGCCAAGTGGCAAAACTAAAGGATTATCATTTACCTCCATTAGAAAGGTTAGAATTGATTTACAAAAACTGAAAGTAGCTTTGCTTCTACTTTACATTTTTAGAAAACTACAAATAAAATCATCTGCAGTTGATCACCAGGAAACTAGTATTTTTCTCCAGATCTGGAAGAAGCTCAGCTCTGGAGGAAGAAACCCTTTGGTTCTTTTAAATCTTTCTTTGTATTTCAGAAGCTTTAAAAAAAGTTAGGTGCCATTTAAAAAAGTAGAATTTCCTTAAACTATTTTATTTACTAAGGAATTTATTTCTTATACAAGGAGTATTGGTTAGTCGTAAACACACAACAAGCATTTTGACTAATAAAAAAAACCAAAGGTGGTTCTTACAATCTGACCCTTCTTCACCTCCTTGGTTATACTGAAAACAAACCAAAAACCCAATTCTTGGCCCACTGAACTGTCACCTTACTGAGCACAAAATAGTGATTTTGAATGTGACAGAACACTTTTCCTTTTCTTTCTTTCTTTCTTTAAAAAAAAAATATTAAAAAATCAGGTAAACAAAGCTCTAAATGTTTGTAAGCTTTCCAGGTTTCCAACCAAACTGGAAATATATGCAAGAATACTCAAGTGTGGTTTTAAGTTCAGTAGCACTTTGGGGGCACTGATAACATTTTAACATGGTATTTATTTATGTCAAGCTCTGAAGATGTTCACCTCAGCTAATGAAGAGAAGCTAGTAGCTTGGATTAATCATTTAATGTGTTTTCTAGGCTCGGAAGACATTTCTAAAGCTTGCTTTCTGTGACATCTGCCAGAAGTTCCTGCTAAATGGGTTTCGGTGTCAGACATGTGGTTATAAATTCCATGAACACTGCAGCACTAAAGTTCCAACCATGTGTGTCGACTGGAGCAATATCAGGCAACTCTTGTAAGGACTGTTCCTTTTTAATAGCAACAGTAATTCTCCGTGAAAGACAAGCATCGGGTTTTGTGGTTTTTTTTTTTTAATATCTTATAATAGAGATAAATTTGGATTGTTGGGAAGTGTAGTCACTTTTATCAATATACAGAACTTGTGTATTGATTTCATAAAACAGCCAGCAATGATTGTCTATTCCCAGGTGAAGAAGGCCACTTACATTAGGTGCATTTTGTTCTTGCTGTAGATTTTAATATTCTGGGACAAGCAAACAAAGATCTTGAATGACGAGGCAGTTGCTAGAATGTCCTCTATTTCAACAGAGCAATAGTAATTCCTCTCACATAACGCTTCTGTTAGAAGAAAAAAAAGGGTCATGATTCAGTTGGTTTTTAGCTGCTGGAAGCATGAGTGTTCAGAACTACCACAACTTTTGACACCCTGTTGAAAATGCATGGAATGGTGAGAAAACTGCTGAAGGATAATACTTTCCGAATATTGATTAGAAAAAGTTGAAAATCATTATGTTAGAAGTAGTCCTTTTATGCAGAAGTGTTAAAACCCAGAACTGATTTTATGTGTCTTACTTAGTGATTGTATTTTTTTTTATAGCTAAGCTTGGTCATATAGTTATGCATTTTCTTACATTGATTAATCATTAGTGTGTAGGATGACTTGTGGCACTTGGTGCTACCTGGGTTTAATAGAACGTAAAAAATTTGGTATCGAATACCCTTTCAGGAAAATCTGAAGTCTGTTGTAAAAAGATTTGTATCGTAAGTTTAGAAAGAACACATGGAAATTTTCTTTGGGAGTCTGAAGACAGTGTTTAGTCATACCATACACAGAGGAAAAAAATGTAAAGATAGGAATGTGTTCATGAAGTTAATTATGCTGGAAAGAAACAGCCCTTTAAATTTTCAGCTTTAAAGAGCATTGTACAGGAGGTAGTGTAGCAGTTGAAATTGTAATTGTTTGTGTTGATATTTCAGATTGTTCCCAAATTCAAATATCAGTGACAGTGGTGTCCCTGCACTACCTCCCTTGACAATGAGACGGATGCGGGAGTCTGTCTCCCGGATACCTGTTAGGTAAGCTAGTATTTCCTGTCATTTCTGTTTTGGGAAATACAGTTGTTTAAAAAAAAACAAAAAAAAACCAAAACACCCCCAACACCTCAAAAATAGAACAATCTTATAGAAGGTTGGGATAAATGTGCAAGAAGGCAACACCACTTCATCATAGATTATATCTAGTATCCTTTCTTGTTCTTAGATTAAAGCAAAACATTGATTTGGGTTTTTATATTTTTAATTCTTAGTCTTAAGATTTTAAGGGAGGGTATTAAAGGTTTTCTGGAGACCTTTGTTTTCCTGCCTAAGAGAATTCAAGGCTCCCTTTGGTATTTTTGTGAATTAAGTTTTTTTTATCTGAACAGGTAGTATACATGTAAGGGTTTGTGACTTGTTTTGCATGACTTGCATATATAAACTAAAATAAGGTTCTAATATTATGATGACAGGTAAGAGTTTAAAGAGAGAACAGTGGAAACTGAAAATACTCTCCACTTAAAACTCTGAGATCTAAAGAGAACATTTCTGTAGTTTTAAATGCTAGAATAAAAATTGCCATCCTTTCAAAGGGGCCTGTCTTCTGATCCTAATTTGTGCCTGTATTCTTCTCCTTGAAATTCTAGAGGCTGAAGAGGGCAGGCCATCTTTTCTTTTTTGTACATCACTTTGAAAAAATCTTGGCCTATTCAGGAACGAGGCACAGAGCACGTAGCTGACTTGCAAATGGTTCTATGTATTTCTTTATTTAACTGCACCAGGGGTTGATCTTATGTTCTCTTTGCTGTCTTATTTTATTTCCAGTGTTGTTGAACAATGACTCATTAACTTGATAGCTTTTTAAGCTTTTTGTGAATGCTGGCTGATTTCAGTTAAGATACTTGTGTGATTTGGGATAAATAAGGTTTGAGTGACCTTAGCTATGATTTATCACTTTTTGTTGAACTGGATTTCAGTGTTGGCCTCCTTTTAACTGGTATTGGGTTTCATGACTTCCTTGCTGGCTGTTCTGTGCGAACCATTGAACAGTCTTGCAAACCTTTACAAATTCAAGGCTTAGCTGTAAAAGTAGCTCTTAAGCTACGCATTTAACAGGCTTGAAATGAGCAGTTTGTTTAAATCTCGCAGACCTGAATTAATCCAGCAGAGCCAGTATTTTATCAGTATATTAAATGTGATTTGATGGGGATTGAGGTGAAGTGTGGCAAAATTTATAATGGCAGAAACAGACTTGTGTTAAACACACTAGATAAGTATGTGAGCTGACAAGATCTTCAAGTTTTTTAATTTATTTCCTAAGTTAAACTGGGAGTGATTCAGATGACCAAACAGTTTAGTTAGTGTGTAAGTCCCAGTTTCTGTTCTGTTTGGAATTCTGTGTATATTGCTTTTGCACAGGTTACATTGAACAGTATTTTTCAATTGCAAGAGGGGAAAAAAATAACCAGAACTTTCCCTTTCTCTCTCTTTCCTTCTCAGTTCCCAGCACAGGTATTCTACACCTCATGCCTTCACATTCAACACATCAAATCCTTCCTCTGAGGGCTCTCTTTCCCAAAGACAGCGATCTACATCCACACCAAATGTCCATATGGTTAGCACTACAATGCCTGTAGACAGCCGGATAATTGAGGTAATATTGGTAGGGAGGGAATAGCATAAAGTGAAACTAAAATTGTGACTGGTCATCTAATAGTCACTGGTTGGTTTTTCTTCTTTGCTTTCTGTTATTTGCTTACTGTTTGCCTTAGTTGGCCGAGTGATGGAGAATATAGGTGACACATTTGCACAGAAAGTTAATAGTTCATTCTTGCAGTCTTTATCAACGTTCCTGAAGTTCTAGGTAGATTTTTGGTGTCTGTAAAGAGCTTAACAGTCAAGTTTCACAGATCTGAAAAGAAAATAATCTCAGTTTTGCTGAAGAAATATTTATTAGTCCTGTCTAAAAATGTTCTTTTGATCTTAAAAATCTGGATTTGTTGGGGAGACTGGTGTTTATTTTAAATCAGACTACAGGTACTGTAAGTCTGGATGTAGTTCTCAGAGTTGGAATACTCAAGTCAAAGCTTACTGGCAATATGGTTTGTGTTATACCTCTATGGAATTAACAGCGATCCTGGGCTTGTGTGCTAAAGCCATCTGTACCTGGGAATATTTCTGCTGTTACTTGCTTTCAAGCACCTTTTTCTGCCCCCCCCCCCCCCCCCCCCTCCCCGGCGGCCGGGCGGGGGTA